CATTTGTGAATTCACCTTTTGGATATTTCATGGTTAAAGTTCAATGTTTCCAGTGTTATCAACTGGGAAACGTGGCTCTTTCACCCATTTGGGAATATGACATCACCTCTTTGTAAAATCTGAAAACCAACAATTTGACTTCTCTGAGTAAGAGCTTTTACAGTGATAATTTCATGCAAGTGTATGTGTCTGTTGTATTTTTAAGAAATTAAATGTACCAGTCATGACTACATTCAACTTTTTCAGCAGGATTCAAACTATAAAAAAGTACTTTTTGCTTTTCAGTCCAGATCTAGAATGTAGTGGAGTAGAAAGTACAGATACATGGTCTAAAATGTATTACAGTAGTACAAATTTTCAGAATCTATACTTTACTTAAATTAAGCTAAATATAATATTGTTAAAATGCAGATTTTTGTTGTATTACAGTGAATTCCAGGGTCTAATCACTGATAAAAATGATCAAGTTCAACATTTGTGAATTCACCTTTTGGATATTTCATGGTTAAAGTTCAATGTTTCCAGTGTTATCAACTGGGAAAAGCCGCTCTTTCACCCATCTGGGAATATGACATCACCTCTTTGTAAAATCTGAAAACCAATAATTTGACTTCTCTGAGTAAGATCTTTTACTGTGATAATTTCATTCAAGTGTTTTTACACTACTTTTTTCTTTTCAATCCACATCTAGAATGTAATGGAGTAGAAAGTACAGATACACGCTCTCAAATATACTGAAGTAAAAGTCAAAAGTATTCACTGTAAAATTTACTTGAGTGCTGATTTTCGGTATTTATAGGTATTTTTAAGTTGAGCTAAATATAATACAGATTTTTGTTGTAGTACAGTAAATTCCAGGGTCTAATCTCTAATACAAATGATCAGGTTCAACATTTGTGCATTTACTTTTGAATATTTCATGGTTAAAGTTCAACGTTTCCAGCGTTATCAACTGGGAAACGTGACTCTTTTGCCCATCTGGGAGTTTGTAAAATCTGAAAACCAACTATTTGACTTCTCTGGTTGAGGTCTTTTACAGTGTCAATATCATGCAAGAGTATGTGTCAGTTGTTTGTTTTTTTTTAAGATATTTTTTTTAAATTTAAATGTACCAGTCATGACTACATTCAGCTTTTTTCAGTAGGACTCAAACTATAACTATAAAAACAATAAAAATACTTTTTACTTTTCAGTCCAGATCTAGAATGTAATGGAGTAGAAAGTACAGATACACGTTCTCAAATATACTGAAGTAAAAGTCAAAAGTATTCACTGTAAAATTTACTTGAATGCAGATTTTCGGTATCTATACTTTACTGAACTTAAGATAAATATAATTTTGTTGTAGCACAGTGAATTCCAGGGTCTAATCTCTAATACAAATGATCAGGTTCAACATTTGTGCATTTACTTTTGAATATTTCATGCCAAAGTCCAGCGTTATCAACAGGGAAAATGACTCTTTCGTCCATCTGGGAGTATGACATCACCACTTTCGAGAATCTGAAAACCAACAATTTGACTTCTGTGAGTAAGATCTTTTACAGTGTTAATTACATGTGTAAAGTAGTAGTTTCTTTTACAATTACTGTGACTTAAAGACCCATATTACACTATTTCCTGATCTGTTACAATGTTGTTTCCTTCTATAAAACCCACCTGGAGTTGTGTTCCGTTTCATTCACGCATACGTAGTTTATTATTAGTCTGTTTACATCTCCAAAGCTCAAAATACTCTGCTCCACCTTGTGATGTCATGCAGCTGTAGTTTTCATGTTAACCCCACCTTTTTTTTAAACCGTTTGTTCAGCAGAGATTGGCAATTCCAGAGCTGAAATTGATGAGAGTGAAACGATTCTAATGAGGGTGTATGGATTTTATAACATAGTGGAGCACTTCCTGTATTATAACATGACATCACAAGGTGGAACAGAGCGTTTGAGAGAAGAACCCAACTTAAATATGCAGAGTTTGTGTGTTAAACATGTGTGAATGAAACAAAACACAACTCCAGGTCTGTTTGTGATGAGGAAACAACATTAGAACAGATCAGAAAATAACGTCATATAGACACTTTATAATGAAGTAGATCTTTTTTCATGTTTTGACCATTTAATAATATTTTGCAGTAAAAATGAGTGATATAAAGCTGGTATTTGCACACAGCCAAGGCCACGGGTGACATGGGCAGTTGGCGTATCGGGCTGTGCAGCTGATAAGAGCGTCGTATGAAACAGACTCAACCTTGGCCAAAAGATAAGACCTGGAGTTAATATGAAACTACTGAGTAACGCTAACAGGAAAAACACTGCAATATTTATCTATTTATGTTTTTTAATATTACGGGAAAGGGTTTGGAAATGTACTGTAACCAATGAAAGGAGCGGGGTTTGTAAGATTTATCTTCTTCTGTTTCTTTTGTTCAAGCAGCAAAGACAAGGCAAATAATGACTGACATATGTATTTGTGTTAATTGTCAGATTTGTTGTGTTTAAATTAAGGCCAATAAAATAATAGTATGAGCAATAAATAAATAAATACATGTCCCGAATTGAAGCTATTTATGAGAATGATCAGATAAAAGCTCTGCAAGATTAACTGCAAATGAATCGTTATCTCAATTTCAATGAGACGCAATTTTAGCAGCTATTTTTTAAGATCATTTCCTCCTCAGACTACAAAATCTCCTGTCTTATCCTGCATAAAATCTGCTAACCCTGCAGTTTACATCTTTACAAACGTGTCCAGAATTGTGATTCTTGTATTAGTTTGTCAGTTAAAAGTGCACTGTGGAGCTTTTCTGATTGCAGATCTGCCAGTTACTTGTCTCCATGGAGATGTTATTGCTTTATCTGCAATATGTATATGTAGTCCAGTATGGCATTAAACTTTTCAGTTTCAGAAACAAGTAGGAGAAGCCACCAGGCCAATTTACAGGTGAGATCTGTGCAGAGGTGACTCTCCTAACAATACAAATTCATGTTTTAAAAGGTATTTTTGAGAAATAAAAACACCCATAATCCAATAAATGCATCTCCATCCATTTTCTTCCGCATATCCAGGGCCAGGTCACGGGGGCAGTAGTCTAAGCAGGGACTCCCAGACTTCCTTCACCCCAGACACATCCTCCAGCTCCTCTGAGGAGACCCCAAGGTGTTCCTAGGCCAGCCCAGAGACATAGTCCCTCCAGTGTGTCCTGGGTCTTCTCCGGGGCCTCCTTACTGTGGGACATGCCCAGAACACCTCCCGAGGGAGCGCCCAGCCACCCTGCGAAGGAAACTCATTTCAACCGCTTGCATCTGCGATCTTGTCCTTTCAGTCATTACCCAGAGCTCATGCATATAAGTTTAATGCCATACTGTGGAACATTACAGGCAAAACAAAAGCATCTCCATGGTAGCAGGCACTTAACCTAAAAAGTTATATAAAAGTTATAGTCTTTATACTTTGAAGAGAAGCCTCTTATTATATGATTTCTACAATGGTTGATGGTTAATAACTTGTAGTAAAGTTTCTAAATTAACTTTTAACTTTTGTGGAAGAAAAAAAAAATTACAAAATGTAGCGTCTTTATCTGGGATATAACATGATTTCTTACCTGATAGAAAACAGCCTCCGCTTTAGTTTCTTTGTTTTATCTGCTGTTTTATCTGTTTTATCTATTTGAAGTCACTAGTTTTAAAAGATTACACATCTAATACAGCAACATATCACAGATTCTTTGTACATCAGACATTGAGTATTTGGAAGAAAAGCTCCTGAATATTGGCGGACATTGATATTGTTGTCTATGCCAAATTATGAATGGTCATGAACTTTTCTAGAACATGATGAAAGATGAGGCTGGAGCCACTTTTCCCACTGACTTAATTTATAAAGAACTGAAATGATCCATCTGAATCATTTAAATACCCCATGTCTTGTGATCTTTGTCTCATTTGTTTATTTGTTTTCTTGTATGTGTGTTTAGAATAATTTGTTTAATTTGTATACATATATGCAATAAATTAGAAGAAAAAAACAAAACAAAACTTTTCCCAGTGATTATAATATACTTTATGATGAAATATCCAAAATTCACACAAGTTAAACCTGACCATTTATATTTGTTTATATGCCTAGAGTCTAGAATTACGTATTACACATCAGAGATACAGAGAGAGTCCTTTTAGGTTTAAATCAACTAGATTTCTGCATTCACTCTGGAACCACAAATGTAAAACTCACGTGAGGCTCATTCTGCGTTCTAAAATTATAACATAAACAACTTAGTAATCTTGTCATATCAGCGTTATAATTGTTATCAGTAAAACAAAATTTCATTTGAACATGTCTTCATCTTATCTGGACTGAGGTGAGTCATGTTTAATGAGCTTTCATCAGTTTTTTTCCCCTCACAAACATGGGCTTGGTCTGTGGCAGTAAATCAGATGGAGTTTCCTTATGATCAGAGCAGAGTTTTATGTCTGAACATGTTTAAACCTGTCAGAGTCAGAACTGTCACGTGTCTCATGACGACGGGGGATTTTACGGTGATTTATAGCTCTTCATCAGAACAGGTGGAGGAACAGATCTCCACAGCAACAGAAATTTAAATCAGGATTTTTGAGCAAATGGGACAAAATTAGAAACGTTTATAGTGAAAATACATTGGTAGACATGATCTGATAGATCTAGGTGGCAATATATCAAAGAATGAAAACAGTAAAATAAGCAAATACTGAATATTAGATACATTCTTTATAATAAAACAAATATGCTAAATGAGCTGATTAAAAGCAGACTAAAACTAACTTATTAACTTAATGGGTCATTTACTGTCCTTTTTATCTTATTGGTGTTCTATATATTCATTACGTATTCATTTTTGTCAGTATCACCCCCTGTGGATCACCTTGTAAACATCTACAGTCTAAATGTTGGTTTATACATCTCTGAGTAAATGATGTGTGCTTCTATTTCCCCTCTCAAATCGACTGTACAAGAAAACACAAAGCATATTTTTTTTGTTTCAAAGCTTTTTATTGCATTTTTTTAGAAAAACAATACAAAATTCTGTAGCAACTGTCAAATGTTGCCTTGAGTGAACTGCAATCATTCACATGGTACAGTAAAGTGCTTATTTTAAATCAAAAATATTTTGTATTAAAGGAGTTAATCCAATTGTCTTCCATTGAGTACAATGGGCCTGGGTGAGTCTTGAGACAGTTTCCAATGAGGGACCCACAGATGGGAGATGTTTGGGGAGATTACATTGGTGCTGGATTGTAAATGCTTTGCCTCAAGGCTACATTCAACATGGAGGTGAAGAGTCCATCTGAACAAGGACTGCACGCTCCTGTACTTCAATGACAAACACAAAAAGAGACTTGATATATTTGTCCCCGTCCCCAGTAAAAGGCAGCTGAAAAACACTGCCACACCACACAAAAATAGAAATGGTCGTGACCCGAAAAAGTCTCATACCAGGTACAAGAAAGTGTGGTCAAAGTGTGTGCGTCTCTGAGAATCCAACCCTATAACAAATAGGGACATAAAACGCTTTACGCTGAAAGGGAGAAGGCAGAATACTGAACTGTAAAGGTATTTCATAAACCCAAAGAGTGCCTTGATCTTCAGCTTAATGCTCTTCAAATTATATAAGCAAAGTAGTTTCCCAAACGGAGAAGAAACAGCTGCATACACAAATTCAAGTAAGTCTTATTATAAGACATAAAACCCATATTGACGCATCTGTAGAATAGATTTCCAACTAGTACAGTGTCCTTATATCAGCAGAACAGCTTGTGTGAAACTAAGAGCCATTTCCAGAGTTTTTTTTTTTTTCACTGTGTCGATGGATCACATTAAAACTATGGACTTTTCAGCATTCCCCAAATAAGCCCCGTTATTCAACCCCATGCACTGATCACTGCATTACCACTAAGGCTGCAATTAATGATTCTTTTAGTATTAGAAAATTTAGTGTCAGAAAATTATTTGATAGATTATTTTTACATCATCGATACATTTTTAACCAAATAAAAGGTTGGAAAACTGTGATTGAAGGCTTCTAAAATACAGAATGTTTATGAATAAAGTTTACTGTTAATGAGAATCAGAAATTGTTGATTCGTTTTTTTTAACTTTTTGATTTAATGCCATGGTTTTTGGCATTTGATTTAGAGTCTGTGTAGTCTAGGTAATGATTAAGATTATCAAAATATGACTACAATATTTTTATAGTCTACTCCTTTGCTAATTTTGACTAGTAAACAGTGTGGGGGGGACCCATGTGAGTTTTCTTACCCCGGCCCCCCAAATTTCTGTCGTCAGGCCTGATAATTAATCTATTAATTATTGCAGCCCCAATTCTAATGCATATGTTTATAGTGGAAGAGTATAGGGTGAGTGTTAGGGACAGACTGGGGAAGGCTTCTACTCTTTGGTGAAATGACTACAGTGTGGTGAGACCTTAGTCCACTTCCTGTCAGTTTCTATGAGTTTTAGCTTAAAGAACAAAACAAAAACAAAACAAAAAAGATTATTGCCGTAGCATTTTACACATAAAAAAATAAAACTTAAAATCTCGCCTTCTCTGGGCCTGAACGCTCCAGACAAACTCACAAACTCTCCTCATTCACCACTTTGAACTTAAAAAAAAAAAAAAAAAAAAAAACACCAACATATAAAAATAAGGAAAACATCCGGTGTTTAACCTGAACTCAACAGCACCTGCTTGTAAAATTATAGAAAAAAAAAAGCTTAATAGCCATACCAAAATGAGAAGGAACAAAAACAAAATCAGTGGCACATTTGACATGGAGTTTTCCAAAATATTACAAAAATGTCAATGGAAGACTTTTTTTTTTTTTTTTTTTTTTTTATAACTTTTTTGGAATGTTTTTTCCTTTTTAAATTTTTTTTTTTCTGTTTTGTAATTGCTTTTCATTTTTGATTTGCTGCTTGGAAATCTTTTGTCCATACATCTTATTTTGAAAGGGCGTCATTGAATCACAGAACAGTGAAACTTAACCCTGAAAAAAGGTCCAAAAGTTTGTGTGTTTTTTTTACAGAAATGAAAAAAAAAAATGTCACATTGCTGAAATGTGCTTTTGCAACCCAAGAGGGATACATACATTTACTGCCAAAATTTTAGGACAATAAAAAAATAGAAAAAAAAATCATTGTACAAGTACTGTTTGTAAAGGGGACATGTCATTTGAAAACACTGAGTTTCATTTGCCATTTTAACATGACTTTCCCTCACTCCAGCCGTACTATAGTGTGGCCATGCTTCCACCCTCTGACTGTTAACACTGAGTACATGGAGGATGTGGCCGTTTGGTTTGGATCTGCATACATTTGTGTGACAGTAAGTCATGGCTGGCTGGGTACAGGAAAAAACATTCTCATTTTAAGTGCATGGCCAATGTGATCTCACCGTTACACAAACTTAAACAAAAGCCTGCTCCAGACACGGCAGCATCGGCTCACAGCCCTCAGACCTTCCACTGAATCCATTCAAAGACTTCATGGCGTAGTATTGCATAAGCATGTACGTATGTGCAGATAGGGCTTTACATGCAGATACATACAGGCAGAACATCCCATAACTTAAATTCACAGTGGATCCAGTTGTAACATGGGAGCAGCACAACGAGTCCTTTGGTGTCTTAGTCTTAGAAAGTGTCCCATTCTTCCAAACTGAGTTGTATGAAAAATAATATTTATAATTTAGGAAATGTCCCTCCCAAATGAACCCTGGCCCCAAACATGAGCGTGCACATGTTTTTGTGCTTCAGAAGTGCTGCAGAAGTGCAGAAGGCATTGACGGGGCAGAGCTGGGCCAGGCTCAGGGGGCGGAGTCAGGAGGGGGCAAAGTCGGGAGGGGGCAGGGCAGTCGTCTGGTGTCAGCTCTGATGGACAGTCCCGATGAGGTCAGGCACAGTCCCCCACGATGACCAGAGGAGCCAGCAGCTTCCGCAGTTCTGCGGCTGACACAGGGCCTGTTTTAGGCTGGCTGTTCCTCTGTCGGCGCCGGGCGAGTTTGGAGTTGGACGGAGGAGAGAGACGCACGGACGAGCCAGTCGCCGTGACAACGAAGGGAGCGTCCTGCTGCTGCTGCTCCTCCATCCCGTCCTGCTCCGCCAGCTGCCTGTTCACCGCCATGGCTTTGTCCGCAAAGAAGGTCAGGTCCCGGGCGATGCTGGTTCTAAAGAACAAAACAACATTCAGTTATAATACAGGTCTCAGGCATCATGTTTATATAACAAACTGTTTCCAGAAAGGGCCGAGCGCTCACCTTTGATGCAGGATGGAGGTTGGCAGAATCTCAGAAGCACCCTGAATATAAAAAGAAAAAACACTTCATTAGTTCTCCAAACCTTAAACCTTAAACTTTGTTAATAACACTGGTCAGCAGGACTCACCCTCTGCACCCAGGGGTGCTGCAGCACCTGGCTGGCACTCAGTCGGTTTTTGGCGTCTCGAACCAGAAGTTTGGAGATGAGGTCTTTGGCACTTGAGGAGATGTGAGCCCAGTCCTTTTCTGGGAACTCGTATTTTCCTTCCTGGATGCTTTCAAACAGAGTATTCTGTGGACAATAGGACCAGGTCAGTTTACAGCAGACAGGTGAAATTTGACAGGTGTTAATGTGGCTGTGGTTGTACCTGACAGGTGTGGCAGGGCTCCCCCAGCTCCCAGCCACAGTCGCCCCCACAGCGGCCCACAAACGGGGGGTACCCGCTCAGCATGATGTACAGGATCACCCCCAGACTCCACAGGTCACAGCGCTTATCGTAGATGGTGGCCTCCTCGTTGAAAGCCTCCACCACCTCCGGAGCCATGTACTCAGCAGAACCACACTGGAAAACATACACAAACACAAAGTTAGAGCTGACTACCCCAACACACATAAACAAACCCACAATCAAAGCAGATCCACACTAACACACAAAGACTTTGAACAGAGCAGGGACTTCACATTCCTGGTTCAGCTGATGCCTCGTGGTGCAGAGCACTGACCTCGGGCCTCTATAGCCAAACATGTGAGAGTCACCAGCTCAGATATAAAACCACACAGGAAAAAAAAAAAAAAGTCTTCAAAATGTTGCAGCAACCCATAAATATCATTGTGTAATACAGTGTTAATCGCTGTGTCAACAATCCTTTTATTTCAGCATCAGCACTTGTTCAAATGAGTATGTGGTTTCTTTACTTGTTTAGTACACATTCTTATCCAACCCTGCTATTAGAGTTATTCATCCAGGCTGGTGGTAGGGAGGGCCTCTTTAATTTCAGGCTGGGAGGGGCAGTGAGTCACCATTGACCGCTGTAGAGCCTGGAGACTGTGTTGATGCTGTGTTATGTAGCGACTGAAGGAAACTAGGCCAGACTGGGAAAAGAGGATTGGTTGGTTGGTTGAATGTGGTGCCACGGAGCAGGACGGGCCAGTCGGAGGTTACATAACTTAAACATAAACGCCAAATGTTGTGGGAATACTTTATGGAGCGAAGGAAAGCGGGTCGGTGTGCAGGACATTACATGAAAGGTCATTTTTATGTAACTGGAAAATGTCTCAAAGCGCAAACTGTACTATGTACACTATGTTTTTTTTAGCTTAGAAGTGGGCTGTTCTGTTACATTTACTTTAAGAAAATACTTCATTAAAAATGTACTTCGATGAATTGTGTTGAGCGACAAAAGTGGTTGTTGACAATATGAAATGATTTGAACATCGTGTGTTTCTTGGATCGCTTCTTCAGATACAATTTAATTTCTGCAGCCTAGTTTGTCCTTTGAAAATACCAGATTTTGTGCATACTTTAATCTTTTTTCTCTTTCTCAATTATATTAACTTAAAATTATAAATCAGATATTAAGTCCAGACAGTTACTCTTACTTTAGTAGTTCATACAAATTTCTTGAACAGCTACTTCTACTCTAGTAATATTATGAAGCAACAGTACTACTACTTTAGTATAAGTTTTGACTACTCCGTCCACCTCTGTTTGAGCTGCCTTAAATGACCAACATTTGAGCCTATGGGGAAATAATCACTGACCTATATTTACATTACATTTGTCAACAAGAATGTATTGCGTCCATTGTGTGATCGTGCCAAGTACCAGCTGTCCCTAAACCCCACCTCTTTATAACTTATGTAACAAAATTTAGAGCACAGGAATCTCCTCAGACAAAGCTCCCTCAGTATTAGACCAGAACATAAGACCCATCCCCCCAGTCTAGAGACCAATGTCTGGATGGCTGCACCCTCTATTCAGGCCATATGCACCATGTAAACAAATAGGGAAAGCTTTTCTTCTTAAAAGGGGTGTACTTATTTTTTCCATGTATTTGAGCAAAATGTGTCTTGCCCCAGTACAAATATGTTGTATAAGCAGCTCTAGATGTCAAAATAAACCCATTATGTACTATCTGCATCTAGTTACGAAACATTTTATAGTCAAGTAATCAAGACGCAAGTGTTGGCATGCTAGTTATTGTTTGCTTAGTACTCCAAAGCTCTTATAAACTAATCATGGTGAATAATTATGATGCTCAGAATGCATAAGGTAAGTGAAGAATAACTCTGAACTACTGCAGACTCTTTAGAAACTAGTAGTCTTTACTAGATTTGAAATGAATGTTTCACTAGTAGGATTCGATTAAAAGTTAAACATTACTCATAGGAGCTTTCACATTTGAGAGATATATGAAATACTAAAATAATACAAGAATCCCATGTACCTCAGAGTGTGTTTGTAGAGGTCTAAACTACAGGGTTGGCATGTGTTTATATATGAAGGAGGAGAAATATGCCAGTCACGATAATTGCTAAATAAACTATACTATATGGTTGAGTAAATTAAAGTTAAAAAGGTCCATAATTATTTAGTTTCATTGTTTTCCTGATGAGATTAGAGATGATAAACTATAATTTCATGCATTAAAGTGTGCTGAGACAGGCCTAAGGAGCACAACAACGCAATTTGGAGAACTGCAGTGTTTACAATTTGACAGCAGCAGCCCTTTAAACTGCAATTTCGATTCGGTGTTGATAAACCTTGAGGCAGTTCTTTGGAAAACCTCAGCTTTCATTGGCAGCTGTGGCTTTTACTGTAAGCTTGCTTCACATCACAGCCACTTTAAAGTCGCAGCGGGCTTCGTACCAGGAACTGTTACCGCACTGGATTTTCTCTATTTGGCCTCTTGTCTGGGGATTTCCTGTGACAGTCATGTGACCGCACCGTAACCGCACCGCCGCTGTTGACGCGTATGTGGTGTTTTTAAACTGAGGATTTAAAGGTAGGAGCTTAAGACGGTGCATCGGTCTAGTGCTCTGACTTCGAATACTTCTATCACTGGTTTAAAGTACAAATACAGAAGACCAAAAAACTACTTAAAGCACTGAAATAAATGTTTAAAAATGTACTGATTTTGTGGTGATCTTTTTTTTAAACATTCTAGTTTCTAGTTTAATGTTTTTTGCTTTCCAAATCAGATGTTAGGTCTATTAAGTTACTGTTGAGTAGTAGTTTAACTGAATACTCAACATTTTACAGTTATTCTAGTAAAGAACATTTAAAATACCCTCTACCAGAAAAGTTAAGCAGTGCACCTTCAAGTACAGATACCTAAAAATTGACTTCAGTACAGTACTTTTATCTATAATAGCACCAAATGTAGTTATGGTTTTTTTTTTGTTGAACATTCTAGTATCTCCATGGACTGCACCTTTGAGTAATGTACAGATACCTAGTTTTACTTCAAGAGTGTACTTTTACTTTTGTACTTTAGTTTCCACACAGGTCTGAACACGCAGGCTGCTAGTGTAATAGTGATCCTATTGGCAGTTTAACATGAAGCACACGTGGACCTTTGGCATTTAAGAGCGGACACACAAATATTTAATGTCAAACATGGGTGCAGGCTGGAGCATGTTTCTGAAGTTTCTGGGAAGCTAAAAATAGCAGTTCCTAGAAAGATGCAGATATCCATTCACCTGTGCATTGTGTTTATTGCAGACAATTTACTGTATAGATGCAAGATACAAATTTCCTCTTAAGTCTCAATTCTTCTCCAAACCACATATTCAGCTTGCAGATTCAAAAATCACTGGTTAAAACTGAGTCAGGAGTCACAACACTTCCTCTGAATCTTGCTAAAAAAACAAGACAGGGTGCAGGAGCAGACCGCAGCACACGCCCCTCCCCCTGCCTCCAAACTGACCAATCAGAGCGCAGTTGCTACGTATAGGAGGGGGCAGACTACAACGCATTTTCTAGAAGCTGCTTTTGTGTGGGGAGCATAAAGAAAGAAAAACAGGGCTATGGTGGTGCAGGATGTTTTTTTTCCACTATCTTTAAAGCGGCCATGTTGTTTTTCATAATAAGATGTGGCCTTGTAAAAGTCACACAGTGTGTTTCTGTATTACAAACTAGTCTATATCAAGGCTGTAACAGAGCGCCCTGTCCTCAAAACATGTCAAAACGTCCTATAAAATTATAAGCACACACAAGGTTGAATGATTAGAACACAACACAGGGCTCCATGTCGTAGTAAACGTGCAAATACTACCATATCTTGGCATTTAAAACTTTAAAATAGTTGGTTTGTCTGGGGTGTATGTAAGAATGCATAATATAAAATGGAAATAGAATGAATGCAAAGAAGGGCTGTCAAAAATATATATATTAAATTAATCCAGATTAAAAAGTAGAAACCAAAACCAAAAGTAGATACTCATTTGAACAAACATGAAAAGTGAAGGAAATAAAACAAAATGTGAACCTTTCCTGTCTAGCTTTTTGAATAGTCTAGCTCTAACTACATCAGAACTAGTATAAAGCCACATAAGATAAATCACAGATTTTAAACTGAAAAAGCATTCTATAGTCTATAAAATTTTGTTGTTTTTTATCATTGTCGTGTCAAGCCTTTTGCTTAGTATTGAAATAGTACTGTATTGTGACAACACTACTGCAAACTCATGTCTGCTCCTTTAAAACTAGTTCAAGAAGCGCTGATGCCACAAAATTCAAATGTGAAACAAAAACCATTGTTCAAAGTGAAACTCGAAGCCTCACCTAACAGACATCTTTCATTTTCCATTTGAAATGTGAGATTATTGCAACACTAAAACGCCACATGACAGCTCCAGACAAGCTAATAAAGGCCTCCTCCCCAAATAGTCCAGGGGATGGGCGCCCAATCTGTCCTGGTGACTAAGAGAAGATAAGTTACTAGAGAAAAAGTCCCTGCATTCCAGCTCGCTTTCACCTGCTCTGCTCCGTCACTGCTCCCCCGTGCCCCAACTGAAAACATGTGTCAACATCTACACAGAGAGACACCAAATGCGTAACTAGGCACTTTGAGGCGCAGCTTTTGCTCTGTGGTGACGCCAAGTTTAAGGTTAAACAAGCACAACCTCTCAAACACACGGTCCTCAATATTTACTGCTGATAAGAGACCGGTAGTGAAAGCTTAACTATTAAAAACGTAAAATGTGTGATTTTGTAGACATTTTGTGAATGAAGATTCTAGTATCACCATGGAGACAATATGCAGCATAAAGCATAGACATCTAAAACATGAAGTGAAGGACAGCCATCTAAAATTTTACTTCAATACAATACTTTTGTCTATTATTGTGCTGAATTTTGTTGCAGTTTTTTGGTTAAATGTTCATACAAATTATAAAAAGTGTGGTGATGTTTTTCTTGAGCCACAAAGTTTTATAATGTGATGCTTTGTGTTTTTACCGTTTTATATTGATTGTGGTGGCCAAGTCTCTCTTGAAAGATTCTGAATCTCAATGGGACCTCCAGGTTACATAAAGTTAATAAAAGTAAAGCACAGATACCTCAAACGTTACTTCAATACAGACATTTTTATCCATTACAAGTGTCAAATATTGTAATTTTGATAAAGAATAGTGCTGAATTTTGTTGCCGTTTTTGGCTGAACATGTTAATATCTCCATTGAAACAACTAATTAAGCACTTTGACGTACAGCTTCTGCACTGTAGTGACTCCAAGCAAACACGACCTCTCAAACTCAAGGTGCTCAATATTTACAGCTGATAAGAAACGGGCCATGAATGCTAAACTCCAGTGATAGCTCGTCAATAACTCAGATACAGGAAGCAATGTCTCACAGTTCCAAAGGACCAACACAATGAACTACCTTAACCTTTTGAACACAACATCTCCTCAGCCAATCAGAACGTTTCCTTGACGCTGACACCACCAATGATTGTCCAATAGGAATCCAGCAGACACTTGATAACATTTTTACAACTACTCAAATCACCTTTATCGATACACTATTATTAACCCAAACCTGATTAAAGCACTATCTCTTACTATCAGCAGAGATTATGCCCAATCTAAATGAAATATATTGGACTTACCGGTGTGAGGAGCTCTGGAGTGGAGATAGGAGAGCTGTCACTGTTTAACTTGATTCCACTTCCCAAGTCAAAGTCACAGATTTTGACAGGGGAAATCTGAGAAACAAAGAGACAAACTTGTTAACAATGAGACCAGATAACAGCTGTATCATGTGTTGGGTTGTGGCCGGAGTAGGGTCCAGTGTTGAAACTTAAAACTCACCTTGTCTGCACTCTCACAGAGAATATTTTCAGGCTTCAGGTCTCTATGTGCCATTCCTGTAACACACAAAAGACAATTCTTTAACATCCAGTAGCTAGATTTAACTTTATACATTTTACAGTATTACGGTGTTATTGTATTTTGCATTCTGAATTGCTGCACGGTGACCTTGAGTTCCTTAAAAAGCGCCTCAAATAAAATGTATTATTAGCAGGGCTGTTGTCGGCTTCAAGGTGCACTGTGTGGAGGGTCCGTCAAATGCTAAGACCAAAACTCCCAATCAATATGTTGCACCAAATTTGACCCACTAAAGCCCTACAGGACTGAAGTCCAGTCCTCTTTACGACAGGAAAACTAGTGTATATATACAGTATTGCACAAGAGCCATAAAAGGTAACTCTAGTTCATGTAGGACTTGTAATCTTAGCTTTCCTGGTGCTCATTTAGAATAATAGGCCGTAAAGTTAAACTGCACCCTGAGGCCGTATACTGACCCTTGTTGTGAAGGAAATCCAACGCGCTCGCAATGTCCTGCACCACAAGGCTGGCTTCCTGTTCACTGAAGCGCTGCCTCTTGTGAATGTGCGCCAAGATGGACCCTGGGAGCAGAAGAAGACAATACCAGCTGTTATGAGCCGATACCAGAGGTGTATGTATGTGTGTGTGTATGTGTGTGTGTATGGTACGTGCTCAGTCTTTAAACAATAGATGTGAGCAGGTCATTATTTGCGTACCTCCTCGAAGCTTCTCAAACACAAGGTAGAATTTGTCTTCCTCTTCGAAAAACTCCACCAGTTCCAGGATATTACTGCAAAAATACAAAACAGTGAGTTAACTGTAAACATGCAAAGTAAATATTCAGAAGGCATGGGACAAGATCTCGTGCTATGAAATCTCAAGAGACAAAAATCACCACAATTGTGCATGCATGAGTAAAATGATCTTGTGATAGTGTTTCCATGTTTAAATTTGAATAGGACAAAAACAGTTATGTGTAGGCGAGTTAAGTGTTAGAATTTCCAACTCCCTTTCAATACTAAAGAATAAGATTGAGTCCATTTTAAGCAGTTGCGTGACTTTTCTAATATCAATACTTGTTTAAATGAGTATGATACTAGTTTTAGTATTGATTAGTGTCTGATTTTTAATACTTTTGACAATCCTAGGTGAGTTACATCTCTTATGATTCCAAAAAGCAGTACTAAAAATATTAAATAACAGAACAAATTTGAAAGTAAATTAGAAATTCTGTTAAAATCTCATTCTTGTATACCCAATTTGGAAATAGTGTCTCATCCCATTCTTTATTTTAATCTGAATCACCCCTTACCTATGTCCCTGGCACTGATACAGCATCTCAACCTCTCGGAAGACTCTGCTCCGGCTGTGACCTGGTCTTTTCTCAATGATCTGTGAACGAAACAGCAGAGATACAGTTTATAGTGAAATCCCCAAAAGCTACAAACCCACTGTTTAGTGTGACCACAACAGTAAAACCCAGAGCCATGTGTGAGAGTTCATATTTAGGTGCAGACTGCCTTCCTGACTGCTCCAACGCCACTGCCTCATTTCCTAGACACTATAAACCATATAGCTGATTATACAGTCCCAGTGCAGTGCCCCCAGCTTTGGCTTACTTCCAGACTAGACATTTTCCAGTTTATTCAACCCTATGACATGGATGCATATATAGAGTAACCCACATTTGAGAGAAGTTTGCGCCAGGCCAGCCTCAAAACATGTTAAAACACGGCATAACTAAACATAGCCTTCTCGACGTCTGACCTATTTTCCATCTAGCGCTCCTCTGAGATTTCTCCATCCTCACTGCGCTGTAAGTGATCCCAAATTGTGTTCGATAATGACACAAAAATGGTGGGGTCTAAATATAACCTCGCTGGCTGGAATGGACCACAAAGCAGAGGGGCCACCAGCTGCAAAAGACTGCTGACAGCGAAGTACAAAAAAAAAAAACAGCCATGAATTTTCCAGTTTGGGCCAGTTATTGTGAGCTCTGGGGGCTGGGATGGCTTCTCTTCCTGGTGGTGAGATTACAGCTGCTATAGAAGCACAGAGGGGCCAGGGGTGTGCTGTGTGTAACTAGGCTTAAAGTGCATACAAGAGGAGCGGGTACAGACCAATGTTAGGTGAACTGCTGTGTTTTGGGTTAGCAAAAATTTCTACGAAGTATATAATTAAGGTGTGACAATAGTGATTAGAATTGCAATTTATGTTTTAATAGCAGGGTTGTACTCTAAACTACAGGGTTGGCAGGTTTTAGCATTGTGAGACAGGATAAGTAGTTGTTAGGGGAAATTACACAACTTTAATAATTGCGGTCCATTGTCATTTGCTAATTGCAGTCATTCAAATTGTGATTTTGATTTGACTTTGCAGCAATAACAGAGTGCAATGGTCAACTTTTATCAAAACATTGCAATGTCATAATTGCGTTATGTATTTTGTTTTGGCAAAGGAAGATCATCACATTGCTACAACATTCACTAAGGAAATTTTGCTGCTTTAATAATTGTAGTCTTTGAGATTTGCCAACTGTGCGACCGTTCAATTCGCACTTTTAAATAGATTACAATACATCTTGCAGTAATGGCACACAGCAGCCAAAAGTCACCAAAACACTGCAACGAAGGATGTCATAATTGGGCCACTGTAATTTAGCAAAGCTTTCAATTATTTTGTTTTGGCAAAGAGCAGATTGTAACATTGCTGCAACCTTCATTGTGGTTGGAAGTTGCTCAATACTGTAAAGTTATGAGGAAGGAGTCCCATTGGCCAATCTCTGCAGCCTCGTAAAAAAACAAGAATTTAATAGAATCTCACAGTCTAGTGTGAGCTTGAATGTGAACTCTTAGCAGGCTTTGCACAGAGGCAGCTCACCCCTCTCTGTGCTATTTGGGCTTTGTTCCAGTAGTAGCCTGGGTTGCCAGATTTTCAGAGTAACAAGTGACTAAGCCTTTAAAAATGAGCCCAAAACAAGCAACCCCAGCCCCAAATAGAAGCTAGTTACACATGTTTCACTGGTGAATTTGTGTTAATGAAATGTGTATTGTCTATTGTTTTTAGCGTATTTAAAATCAATAATCTCTTTCAAACATGAACTTGTATTTCATTCATTTCTATAGATGATAATGTATATGATAATTTCTGAGTGTAGTTGTGTAAAACTGGAAAAAAGCTAAAAATCACCTCTTCTATGATGTGAAAAATCTGAACATTTGCAAGCAGCTTTCCAAAAACATAAGCCCAAAGTCGCTATAAAGATGTAGACTTGGCAACTTTGCTATTGGAGCTTTTGTTCAGCAGTAACACAGGAGCTCACGCATCACCCGGCCTGTCTGGAGGGGGAGGTTTGGGGGAGGGGAGCACTGGGACATCTGGAGTCTGGAGCACCCCCCAGTCTCCGATAACTGCCCCATGTGGGTGACTCCTCCCCCAAGCTACACAGTCTCAGGGGATTTAACAATTCATCTGAGGGTAAACAATACTGACCCAATACAAAAAAAAAAAACATGCGCTATACATCGAGCCTGCTGAAATATTTATTATTGTGAAATGCAAACCTGCTCCCAGGGGTAACAGTGCCTTAAATGACATCTCTTAGAGCTTCAAAGAGCCTAAAGTTGCAGACAGCCCGATGCAAAAGGTCGATCAGTTGATGCATTCAGTTTCAAAACAAACAGTTTTACCTAATCAGCAAAACGAGGTTTCACAATGTTTTGTTCCAGAAATAAAACGGCAAAAGGGAAGTTGGTCAAAGCCAAGGACATGTCCTCACTAGTTCACTCTCCCCCCGTTACAAAAAGTTAGCCGCTTTAGAAGAGAACAAAGCAGTGTAAACAGCCTGGGTCACAGCCCGCTCCCTCCTTCCTCTGTGTGGGTTTTGTTTTGGCACAGTGAACAGTACACAATGTTCTCACCACCAGCGCCCTCTACAGGCAGCCCGAGCGCAAGAAAAAGGGGTGGATAGAGTCCTCCCTGCACTCTGATTGGCTGTAGCTACACAAACACAGGGGAAGTGTCTGCAGCAGCAACAGCAGCTTGTGTTGCATGCTGCTCACTGGAAAGTGGAGCACAACAACTCAATATGAAAACAACACAGCAACACGGCTCTGGGCTTCACTGCACTAATGTACATTCTACAACACTGTCAATAGCTATAGCAGCAGTCAGCCTTAAACAGAAACCATTCATAAAAGCTCAATTTAAAAGCATGTAGTCACTTTGATGTGAACTGTTCTATTAAGTATGGATTGAGTTCAGAGAGATAATGATACAACTGCAAAGTCTTTACATGTCTATAGACCAACAGCAGAGGTCACATTGCAGTGTCAGATGAGTCTTTCACAGACTGAAGCACAGACTCTAAACTCTGTAGGTTAAACAGAATGAGCAGTGTTACCTTGACAGCGTACTCCTTGTTGGTGATGAGGTTGATACAGGTTTGTACCCTGGCGTAAGCTCCTTCTCCTAAAACCTCTTCCTGTAGTCTGTACACATCTGCAGCAGAAAGTTCAAGATGAACAAACATCTAAACATATGTATTATTATTGTAAATCCATTAAACAGCTTTATTTTTCATACCTTCAAATCGTCCAGAGAAACTGTCTGTTGCCCGGCAACGCTTCTTCTTCTTGTTTCTCTTCTTGGCGTCAGGGATGTCGATGGGCTGGCTGGAAGGCATGTCTGTAACAAGTGCCAATATTTTACGTCATCATTTAAACTTCTACATGACTGCTGAGGCTTGTAATAAAGATTACAATGAACAAACTCATATACAGATATATTTACTCACCATGTCTTGGGGAGGGGTCAAAATTAAATGAATCAATGAGGTGGGATCCGTTTTTAGTAAAGTCATCTGACTCAAAGGGATTTTGTCCCTGAAACAGGAAAAACCCAACAAGTTTAGAATCATATCTATAGTGTGTTTATCTCTGTGTTGCAGGTGTTAATGTGTTAATGGTTAGCTTCAGCTGATTGTACAGAGTTTTATCAGCTCTCACACCCATAAAGGTTTAATTAAACTGCTGCTATTTGGAGCAGGGCGCTTAATTATCAGTGGAAAAAAAAGGAGAATCAGCTTTGTCCATATTATAACTGTTGTTCTTTATCAAGTCTAGTCAAGTCTTGGTGTTTCATATCTGTATTTAACATGTGCCACAGGGCCACACATGTGTGTCAGCCAGAAGATGTGGAAAAGCAACAGATGTGTTTATAAATAGCAAGGCCAAGTCCTCTCCCTCACCATCGCTGACAAGTGTGATCTGTCTGCTGTCTAAAAACCTGCATTAAAAAAAAACAAAAAAAACAAAAAAACACATACACCGCGTCTCACCTTGAAAGAGCGATGGAATCCAGTGACTTCGGTGATCTTGTTTTGCACCATTTTCTCCAAATTGAGGGGCGATTTAGGACGTGCGGCGGCAGAGGATATCTACTGCAATTCTCCAAAACAAATGGATGTTTCAGAGAGGCTTGCGAGCGATCACACTGCGCTGGTTGGTCAGCTGCTGCGGCGCTTTTAAACGGGAGCCCTGCGAACAATACATCAACATTGCAGCGTTAGAAGACATGCACAAACACCTTTACATGTCCCCCCCATACATCATGACACAAATCACTAATGTACACATTGCAAGGTTACGGGAAGACTATAAAAAGAGTGACTAATCTCCGTCACATGCTCGAGACACCATAAACAATCAGAGGCTGGTGCCCTCAGCACCACCTCTCCCTGCTTAACAGTTCTGATTAGTTAGCGTTAACACATCTCTGGGCTGCATTTAGGTCACCGCTAATTTCCATATTTAACCCATTTTAGTCCACAAATGTTTGTTCAAATCCACGTGCAGTCAATAGCAATGGTCATTTAGTAAGTAGGTCAAATCAAGAATTAATTAACAAATCAGCAAACCTTTATAATAACAAAACAGTAAAAATGTCTCAAATCACGCTTAAAAAGGTCATTTAACTAGAAAACGTTATGGGCAAAAACATGCATGTTGCTAATGGACAGAACAATGCTAGTGTTAAATGGCTTCACCCCATGTAAAGTTGATTCATTTTACCATTTGATAGTTCTAAACATGGCCCAGCTGATGCAATACAACACAACGCATTGACTACAACCAGAAACCAATCAGACAAGCAAAAAATTAATCTTAAAACTCCAAATTCACCTGCAAAATGACAACAACAACCTCCCACATACAATAGCAGCACGCCCGTACAGTTATTCGAACGCGCTGGTCGTTTAGGCAAATATCCAGAAAAGCGTTGACAAAAACAAGATTGTTTCCGCTTCACTCACTCCAAACTGCAATGCCAGAGAAGTTTTGCGTGCACTCACCCCGTTGTTAATGTTAGAACTCCAGTGTTAGCGTCGGTGTCTGACCCACAGCTCGACAGCCGCAAAGGACGGTCAATGGGGGGGAAGCGGCAGAGAGGTACGTGCGTGGAAGGTGGCGAGGAAAGGGCTGCGCAGGAGCTTTTATAACCTCCCGGCTGGCCACGCCTCCTTACGTGCGTCAACTGCCACAGACTGATCACGCGGGTTCTAGAAAAGGACATTAGGGCTGCGTCCGATTTATCAACGATTGGTCCTAGATAGTGCGCTTTGGAGGGACGCGCTGCAGTTGTGATCCGTGAATGTGATGCAATCTAGGGACTGGATTGTAATAAGGTTAGAAAACAGGTAATGGTTAAGGTTAGGGTTTGGAAAATATTTTTTAAAATGGTTAATAATTCGTTTAAGTGTAGGAAAGTTAAATAACGAATGATAGAAATAGACTACGCATACTACATGCAAGATATAACTGCTAAACAACGTACCTTTTTGTAATAGAAAACATTTAATCTGTGCACTGTATCTTTTGCAGCTCGTCATTATATTCTAATAAGTGACATAGTATATTTCCATTATAGATCAACACATATTTTTTTTTACGTTTTTGGAGCAATTAAAAACATATTTGTCACTTACATGCCTTATCTCAACTTACACAATACAACATAATGCAATACAAAACTAAAATAAAAAAATAAAATATTTGTTTAGGTCTATCTGTTCATTCATAACAACATGAGACGCATCTGTCCCTCTGGAGTCGACTATCTAGCGCCTTTTTCAAAGCAACAACATGGTTTCAGACTTATTCCAATAATAAGCACACATTTCATTGAGTTATATGCGCGGATTTATGCTAAGTTATGCTAAGTTAGTTCAGTAATGCTCATATTGTTGCATCGCTATCAAAGTAAAACATTAACTGGCTTGTTTTTACGGTATTCACGTTTCAAGGTGAGTAAACAAGCGAGCAGAAATGGGTAATCGGATGCACCCGGCGTGCTCTGTTTTGTTTCTGAATGCGCGTACGTGCTGGTACGTGCACGTCGACACAGCAGAGGGCACACCAGTCAGCACCCCGAGCTGTTTTGCTGAAACTGGTGAGTGAGGCTCAATGGAAGTGATGCATGCTTCGCGCGCGGTGTGAGTAAACGGACCAGACGCACCGGTTTCCCCCTGACGTCTGTTTAAAGTGCTCTAGCTCTGCACCAGCACGTCCAAGGATGCGACCTGCACAATTATACATGTGGATTAAGTGGAGACAACATTGGTCTAGTAAACACGTGCTTCTCTGAATGTAAGAAGCTAGCAGTGCATGGATGGATCAGGGTGGGCAGTTCTTAGTAGTAGTAGTGGTATTCGACTATTTGGCAGCACTACAAAACAAAAAAGAACTAAACATAGACTACAACCCCATGGATCATAACCGAAAGGGTTTAAGCTGAAATAAAAAGCACTTCTAATGCCAAACCATATTAAACAAGGACACTATTCCAAGAAAGAAAGCTGCAAGCTACAACGATTTAACACTTACAATTTCTCTTTCGACTTACTGTTTATATAAGAGAGACAAAATGTAAATTAAAACTAACAAAATTTAACACATAATTCATTCATTCCAGAGCTCTATATCTTTCAAAACATAATGCTTTATACTCTTCATCACTCAGATTGTTCCATAAACTAACCCCTCTAACAGAAACCACTTTTTTCTTAGTTCCTATCTTCATTTTTTTTTAATAGTTGCCATGTTTTTGTTTTTGTGTATGGTCGTACAAACTAATAATAATGTTAACGAAGGCACAAAAGTTTATCAAATATGATCATACAAATAAACCACAAAGAGAGTGAAAAAATGTACAGATTTTTTGTTTTCATTTATGGTTGTACAAACTAATGGCAATGACAAAGAAGACACAAAATGTATTATTTATTGTATCAAAATAAAAGGTAACGTTAAAGAAAATGCTAAAGAAAAGCATGTGTTTTTCTATTGGGCCACATGAGAAACAGAAAATATTGTGGAGGGCTGGGCCAAAATGCTTATCTCAGTTCTGCATAATATTAATTATATGTCTTTATTTTTTTTTTAAAAAGCAGTAAATAACATTGTTTTGACAAGCTTATCAGACTGGTAAGAGTTTTTGTTATGACTAAGCAATGAAAAAGTGAGGCTGCCTTACAAAAAATGTCATTAAAAACACTTCTAAAATAACAGCAATACAGCTTTAGTCCATGCATGTGGTAAAATGATAAAATATGTTTATTTTGTAATTCCAGATGAGCGTAAATGGGCGGTCAGAATCAAACAAAGAGCTGAATGTGGCCTGGGAGCTGTACAATACCCAGGTCTGGTATATACAGTATAATATGATGTTAGTAAATGACATCACAACATTCTATATTTAAAAATGCATTGTGCAGCTTTTAGATTAGGTTAGGAGGTCAGCTAAAATGAATATTGTTATAATGCAGATTTTAGTTGTAATAAAGTGAGTTCTTGGGTCTAGACACTAATAGAAACATCAGGTTCAACGTTTGTGCATTTACATTTTGGATATTTCAACATAAAGTACAATGTATTCAACGGGGAAAATCTGTCTCTTGGCCTACATCTGGGAGAATGACATCATCATATTCTAGAATCTGTAAACCACCAATTATAGGCTCTGCTTCCTTGGGCTGTGGCTACGTTTGTGTGTGTGCTTGAAATCCAATGTTATATAAATCGAGGGATTGTGCATACTTTAGTAGGTAGTACAAATCTAGATGCATACTAAGACTAACAAACAAAAGAAGTGAACAAAACA